AGGCTCTGTCTGCGTTCCCTACCAGCAACAAGGAAAAGTAGTGTCCGTCCAGCACAGCTGTCTGTACCATGTGCATCATTGGAAGTCATAGTGTTCTAGCACAAACGTCGTGAGTGCAGATACTGTATACTAGCAGAGACCTAAAACTTCTGAAGCTGTTGTCTGTAGCTCCTAGGAACAGCAAGTGTGACAGGTGCAAAACCTATATTTGAGGCAGAAGACTCTTCAATTTGATTGAGACCAGATCTTCCAAAGGGAAGAATCGCTGACAAGCCAAAATGATTCTGTCTGCTTAAGAAAGCAATCTGCCCTTCCTAAAGGCTCTTGACTAATAGAATCCTACACATTATGTCAGATCTTCCATGGATTCTGGTAGTTGTTAAAAACACTATAGATATTTCCATGTTTGCCATATCACTTAACCTTGTAATGTGCCTTCTTTGATCTGTTGAATAAAAAGATTCCTTTCATCCTCAGGTGTCCTTCCATTTTGTGCCCGAACTATACAAGTAGGCCTGTGAAGATTTAGCATGTATATCAAATGCTGCTTCTCATTCTTTAGCTCTTCGATCTGGGCTTTTAATTCTGCATTGATAGTTTCCAGCTTTTCTGATTCCTAGTCACAAAGGATAGACACAACTATTAGACCGAGTAGTTCAAATAGTTAATTGCAATGTTTATCTAATAGTTGCAGTCTTTTATTGGTGGGAAAGCATATGGCTAGCAGAAAAATCACATGTTCTTAGTGTCCTGTAATGATGAAACTATACATCCCCTAGTTGATAATGGTCCAAAAACCAGACTGGCGGTTACCTTCTTTGGCCTTTGGAGAAGTGTAACAGAAGTTGACAAGCCAAATTCAGGCTTGTATTCACTTACACGGACAGGCATTCAAAGCATTATTGCTATCTTCTGCAAAATTATCCTGAAATTTTTGGGTCAAAAATTGACCCAAAATTATGTACGCTTCTTATCAACTCCCTGGAACATCATGTCACATATCTGTAAACCCATGTTAAGCTAACAAAGTAAGGACATAGCTTCTTTCTTTACCCCTAGATATAGGAAAAAAGACAGGCCTGATGCTGCTCTCATATAGTTGTATATCATGGCAGAGCAGGTGAAGACACAATTGGGGTCTTAGAACAGAGAATTCAGCGGTAAGCTACTATGCCACTCATTTCATAAAGAAGTCATAAAGAAATTACTTGTCACTGTTTGTAGGCTCTTGGTCTCCACAATGAATATTATATGAAATGAGATTTTACTGCTTTGTGTTCAGTGTACACACTCAAATTAATATTACCCCCATAGACAAGGTTGGTCACTGAAACAGTAATCTCTTTTTCCCTCCTACCATGCTTTCACTTTATTCCAGTTTTAACCAGGTTCGGTTTTAATATATGGCATGCTCTTTTTTTTTTTCATAACTAATGTTTTGAAGGGTTTACAGAGTTTTGGATGACATCTTTCCGTATTTCCTACTATGACAGTACCCCATACTATCTGTTTGGATCCTGGCAGGATGACAGATTAAGAACAACACAAGCCAGTCACTTACTTTCTGCAAACATTCTGTTTTTTCCTTCTTTTTGTTTCGGCACTTTGCAGCAGCAATTTTGTTCCTTTCCCTTCTTCGCTTTTTTCTTTCATCCTCTTCAGGAGAAAACTATCCCATAAAAACAGATACACACAATCCGTAAGATGTTGTAAATACGCAACCTGTATTTTGATAACTTGTGCATTTCTAAAAGCAACACGGATACTGTTGTCAGTGCTCACACTGTGAATTACGTAAGAATGTGATTCTGACCTTGCTTGCCATACAGTAAAACGGTAGTAACTCCATTAGAATTGTCAATAAAAACCTGACTGGAGTTTGGATGGATGTAATCTATGTGATGGCTCATTTTAAATCAATGGTACTCAAAAAAACTTCCCAAGTATCTCCCTAGGCTGACTCCCACACCTCCATCTCTCCTCCATTTCCCAAGGAAGAAAAGGAGCGAGGGGTACAGGAGCAGAGCGGAGGACATGTCATGAATCAAGCAGCAAGAGGGCAGTGAACCAAAGGCAGCACCGAAAAGGGGATATGAAAACACTCATTCAAGCTTTGGTTCATTTCCTGTGGAGGCTCAGACCAAGGTATAGCTACTTCCCTAACTTAAGCTATTTCTCCACTTTATAAGAGAAATGTTTTTCAGGGAGACCATTACCTTAAAGTAAAAACCTAGCGTGGACATAGCATGACTATGTCTTAATCTAGCCCACGTGGGTCCTACTGGACTGTCCTCAGTGAAATAAAACTTCAGCAGTGACTAATTCCAAGTTCAGCCACACGTAGGCAGGGAAACCAGATTAGCGCTTGCCCTAATCACTGTAAAACACTGTCCTTAGTCCATAATCAAAAATAAAACATCCAACTATAGGCCTCAATGGAAATGAGAAATACCAGAGGGTTTCCCCGAAGTACTTAACAGAAAGCCAAGCAGCAGGCTTAAAAGGATCAAGTACAGTAGAGGGGGTTGTCTGTAGTTGATATAATTACTGGCCTTGTGGTAAAACTTTATTAGAGAATTAATCATTCACACTGAAATTCTATTTAAGGAGCCATACCTCTGTTTTCATGATTGATGTTTCAACTGGCCTTTCAGAAACTGTCACCGTGTCCAAGGTAGAAGACATCCTGTGGAACTGACGCTTATTCTGAATGGCAAACCTCAGTTCCTCTTTCACCAGTGGGGTTAAATTTGTGAAATCATCAAACCCCAGTGACCCTGCAGGGGACAAAGTGGGAACAATTGCGGAGGCGCTGACTTCTAATGCAGATACCTGGCCTGAGTGTTGGACCATCATTTTGCTGAAAGGTAAAAAGAGATAATAATAATAGTCTTTCAACAGCTTTAGAAAGGCAGATAATATCTCCTAGAGGTATATTTCATACTGTGAATAATACTGTATGTCTTGCATTGCTTCAGTCGCCATTCCCTGTCTACCCCAATCTCTCACTAGACAAGCAGTTAAGAATTTGGTCACTAGTAAAAACTTCTACTTTTTGTTAATTTAAAGTTAGTATTTAAAAATAATAATAGTATCAGCACATCACACAATTTCTAGGTCTTTCTGAAACTTAATATTGAAAAAAACTGTGTGCATGTATACTGAAGTTTTAGACTGGTAATGTGTGGTAATGGTAATGAGAATCGAGTGAATAGGAAGAGAAAGAGAATAAGGAACAAACATCAGAAAGCAAAGAAATATTGTTATTATTATTATTTAAAGGACAGAAGTAGCTTAAGATTAGCTCTGTCCTCAGAGCTATACCACCACAGATTCCAGCTTCAAATGGACAGAGCATACCTTGACCTCAGCTACATTTAGGCAGAGCTCAACGAGTTCTACTAGAAGCTGAAGCTTGCTAACCAAGACAGGATCTGACAAAAAATTATCATGCTTAGTTTTACAGAGTTGTAGGTTTGGTTATAAACTCCTGAAAAACAGTTTACAGTAAGAGTTGGCACAAAGGTAGAAGTCTATACATGCTCTGGGGCTTCAAAGCACAGTTGAGTTGGAGGGATTGAGTCATGAAAAATGTGAAGCCGTTTGTTTCATTCCTTTGCTCTTGTAAAATCTGAAACTGTCCTCATGTGCCTTCAACAAGAGGTTTGAAATTCTTAAATATTTATGGTCAGATCTTCTGCAGATATAAAACAATGTGACTAAAGAGACTTCAGCGGAATTATGCAAATGGACAGCCATGGAGGAACCTAATTTCTAGTAGTTTTCCTGTGAAAATGAACCTGTCCGACGGTGCTCTCTACTTTCTTCTTTTTAGTCACTCATGAATCTTTTGGCCAATTTTGGGGAGAGAGAGGCCTCCTCTGTGCTTTGTGAAAATTGGTGACCCCACAGAGGGAGAAAGAGGCAAAACTCAGCAGTCAGCCATCCAAACATCGCGGGCAACAGAGTTAGCCGACGGACACAGCTCTGCATGACACAAACTATTTCTCGCCCAGAAGAGGTGAGATAAGAGGTCTGGAAGAAAGCTGAGCACTTTTTGTGGGTGCCCTAAGGGACAAAAGGTGCAAATCTATAGGAAAACAGATTGTGTTACTTCCCTTGTTCATAAAGCAACTTGTGTTAAATTGGACTTTACCACATTGGTTTTCCAGCTTTCTTCGGTTTTGTTTGGTTTTTTCTTTTTTTTTTTTTTTTTTATAGCTGTACGGGTAATTACAGTATGTGTTATCTACTCTTGATTAGAACTGTAATAATTATAGCAGAGTAAATTGTAATTAACTTAGTGCAGGCAAGCAAATAGTTGCCTCAGGGTAGCAGTGTGGGTAAGTTAAATTTCTACACGGTCAACTCAGAATTGCACAGTTCCCCCTACACTACTTCTGTAACGCAGCAAGTAATGTTTGGAGCCACGTGCCTTGACAAGATAGATTTTGCTCAGAGATATCTAAAAATACACTGTAAATCCACACTGGTGCAAATGAGAATAGAATCTGGTTCATCGCTAAGTGAGGCAAATATAAAAATCTGAGGACAGTGAATTGCCAGTTGGTAGAAAATACCATGTCCTGCTGCAGAGTCTTCCTCACTTCTTCCCCACCCAGTCACCACAGAAGAGCTGAACATTTCCCGGAGTCTGGGGGTGAAATCCTGAAGCCACTGAAATCAAGAGGACTTTTTCTGTTGACCTCAATGGGGCCAGGATTTCACCCATAGTTATTAAAGATGAGGAAATTATTTGGAACAATTTGTTGTTCCGAAAGACCTTGGGAAATTTATGTAATTCTCTTCAAAAAGCCCCTGCTCATGAGTCACATTTAAAGTACTGATACGGTTTAATCCTATAATCTCAGAAAGCTAGCAGTTACTCTTTTCCACCAAGTCAGAAACAGCCCCATAATTTCCATCTGAAGTCCTCATAGCATTATTTACCATTTAGCAACATTCAACTCATTTAAACGGGCTAACTCCAGATGACACTGAACCCTTCATTGCTAGCAGAAATTTCAGCTATTTTCACTGAATCAGTCTGCTTGGCTGCTGGTGATGGCTTCATTCAACAAAGTTAATTCTGTATAATTCAATCAAACCAGGAGTCTTAAATTAACAGTAAAACTATGTCTCCAGCCTACAAAATAATTAGTTAGGCTAATAATTTTCAAGCTCTGGTGGTTTATTAAATTATTTTTCAGTTTAGGTGAACTTTTAATTAAGGGCAGCAGCAACACCAGAGGAAACCAAGAATGTTTGTGCCTGAGAAATTGTGTTAATTGTGGATTTCTACTAGTTAGTACTATGTGTACCACAAGCACCAACAAAACCCTGCTATAACGTCTTCAGGTACTCTCATCTGCCTGTCAGTAGTTTAAAAAAAAAAAAAAAAAAAAAAAAAGTGGTAGGGTGCCCACGGGGAGGGGAAGCACAGAGGGGGAAGTGTCCTTGACCACAGAAACTTGCTGCTGTCCTGCGTGAACAGCTCACTGACCTTCCAGACATCCTGAAAGGCATCTCTATTTACTCAGACTTTAGGGAAGGGAGGGCCTATCAGGGGGCTGAGGCTTGTATAAGGATTTCTGCCGTGAGCCGAGTCCCATTTTGCAGAGCTGTTTGCCACTGGCTTGCTTTCCTGGGGGTCATTCTTGGGGCAGGGCTTCTGGACAGTGCCTAGTAGGGTAGGCTTCCAGTCTACCACTGGGATTGCTAGGAGCCACCCTGATACAAATAACAAAAATAATCAGCCTTATGTCAAAGCTACTCAGTAAGCTGAATAGATTTCCTTTTCATAACAAGGTAGATGTTTTCCAGTTTCTGAGGAACAAATCTGCTTTTAGAAGTGTTTTAGAAGAAGGAAAATTAGATTTTGCTATTTTAAAAAATGCAACAAGTTGCCCTTCTTTTTTCCCAATTTTTGTACAAATTGTACCTCTGTCTATAAGCCATCAAGAGCACTATCTCATTTTCCCTGGGTTTGTAAAGGCTGGGGAAACAGTTGGAATAAGAATATCAAGCCTTAAAGTGATTATGTCTGGGTCTTTCTGATACGATCTGTGTTTACTTTTTTAGACCATGCACATGGACCTGAGCTCCAGGATGCTTTGAGCACTTCGGAAGTTACTGACATTGAAGGCGCTCAACATTTCACAGACCTGCACTGTAAAGGCACAGCTTGTTCCCAGTGTGAGTTAATGTTTCATTACTTTATCCTTAGTTTTGGAATTCTCCAAAGAGAACAGCTTTTCTATTAATGGTACCCTCTCAATTCAGGTAGATTCAAACAACTTTATTCATTCTTTCTCCCCCTACTTTCTTTGTTCTCTTGCTGATGATTCTTTCCATCTACACTGAACTTTACATCTCATCTGCCAGTATTTTAATTTCAGGACATACTTCCCAGCTGTGCATTTCTATTATTTATGGGTATTCTTGCTTAATATTAAAAAGTAACTACTTTCAGTTGTGGTTTTGGGGTTTTTTTTTGTTTTTTTTGTCTGAGGGTGTGGGTTAGGTTTTTTTTTTTTGTGCTTAACTGCAGATAGCTGACCATGCCTCTTGGTTTTATTTCTTCATATGAATTCCTTTTCCTCTGGTGCTGATGCAATAAACCCCGGTAACCATTGAGGTTAATCTTAAACAGCATTAAGAGCAATTACAGTTCACAGCCTCTGTGCACGCTGGTTGACCTTAAGCTTTCTGACATCCCACATCATTCCCGAACCCTTTTCTGCTGCCTTCCAGCCTCCCAAATGCTGTTACTAGGAGGAAAATTGATTTCCAACAGGAAACCTGTTCTCTGAAACAAGTTCGCTGTTGTGTCACGCCTGACTTGATTAGGCAACAGTTCAGCAACCGATGTTCTTCATGTCAAGACACGGGGACAGAAAGAAAAGTGAACGTCCCCGGCTCTCACCGAGAGTTCCCACTCGGTTTGCGTATCTGTAACACACACATCCATGCGCGGCACTGCGGGGTTACTCATCGCCCGGCCACTCCCGCTACAGCTCCTCCGTCCCCGCCCCCGCGGACCCTCCGGG